CAACAGATCTTTTTTATATATATATATATATATATATATATATTTTTTTTTTTTTTTTTTTTTTTCACTCCAAGCAAGATAAGTCACTAGGGCGCAAGGGGTTGGAGAATGAGAAAAAACTATTATAAAGAGAGGGCAATAAAAGAACAAAAATTCTCAGAAAAAATAATGGTTGACATTGCATTTAACTTTTTGAAGATCAAAGTTAATTGGGGAAGCAAGAAGCCAGAGAAAAGTTCTACAAGAGCAATAGAAGAAACTGTTAGCATAGAACTTATGGTTACATCTAGCCATTTCAATTGTAAAATGATGAGACCATGTCACAACTCTAGTACTGCACTTTAATTCATAAAGTCTAGGCACTATATCAGAAAATTCATCAAAACAATTACCATGAAAGTATTTATACAAAAGGCACGGGGGTGAGAAAGTGATGCCAGGTCATGACCAATAATATTGCAGATTCTTCTTTAGATTTTATCAAGAATCTCAAAATATATAGCAGCAGCATCAGACCATATGTGGTAGCAATATTCAAAGCAAGGACGAATGGTAGACTTATAAATATGTAAGATAGATTCTGGTGAAAAAAATTGTCTAGCGCAACATAGTGAACCAACTTTCTTAGCTGCAGATTTAGAAATTGATTCATTCCACTTTGTCAGCTGAAAAGGCACAGTGAGTCACTCTCCTGGAGATTAGAGTAAGCCATGCAGATGGAAGGTAAAAAGGATTCTCTCAAATGATTAAAAAAAAGATCAGTTTCATTTTTGAGGCATTAAAATTAACAAACCACTCTTTGCCCCATTTAACAGATTCAAAGTCATCTTTGAGATTAGCTGCCAATTTCACCTTATTGAACCAATCAAACTTATTAATGAGACAGGAGTAAATGATTGTATCATCAGCATGGATATTGAATTGTGAAGTAACACTTAGAAACAATGTAGGTCCAAGGATAGGGAACACCTGTATTTATACAAAAAGATCTAGAAGAGTGGCCATTCAAGATCACTTTCATTTTGTGATTTGCTAAGAAAGATTGAATCACTTCAAAAATTTATCCAGAAATACCATAACCTTTTAACTTGTTAAGACCTGTATGCCAAACTCTGTCAGGTGACTTTTGAGATATCCAAAGCAACAAGCCAAGCTTCACCATTCTAATCTAAAGCTTGATAATCTCCAGCAGTTGAACTAAAGAAGTGAAAGCCATATTGCTTATTTGAAAGAAGACCCTGCAATATGAAATACTTAACCAATTCAGAATTAATTAGAGCCTCTAGTACTTTTGCCAAAAAGAGGTAGAAGGTTAATAGGCTGATAGTTGGAAGTGTCAGACAGTTCATTTGAGTTCTTAAAGACTTGAACTACAGAAGAGGATTTCCAACAAGCAGGAGAGCAAGAAGCAGCAAAGCATTTATTGTAGTTCAGGAGCACATTTCTTCAGGACTATTGCAGAGATACCATCAAGTTCATGGGATTTTTGATGCTCCAGTTTAATAATGATAGCAGAAACCATGGACAAATTATGTGCATATCACTCAATAGAGATTCAGTTCTAAGTGGGAAATATTGTACATATTGGCAGTGGCTGAATGACTAGAATGTTTACTTTTTAAGCATGAGATGCAGGTTCAAATCTCACCATTGTCAATTTGTGGAGGAGATTACTTCATGTTATTGACCTGAGAAGGCAATCCCAATGTGTGACACCTTTTGGAAAGTGCTTGTGAACCATGCCACAGGTTGACCAAAGCCTTGTGAGTGAAATTAGGTAGACAGAATGGTTTGGAGGTTGTAAGTGGTTGTGCTAGCACAGTCATGAATCTTTGTGATCAAGGGTTTGAACTTACTGGCTTTGTTCAAATTGTTGCTTAGAACAGGTGATGCACGTTTTCCCAGAAACCTTAACTAAGGTCCATCTAGCATAGTTTCAGTATAAGTCATGTGTAGGCTCTGTAGGTGTTGAACAAATGTGAATGTGTCTGAGCAGGCGTCTGCAACAAGGATTAGCTAGCTGTCAAGCAGACAAATGTGCTTAGAAACAAGTAGTCAACCATAGTCATATGTACACAATTTTCTTTTACAAATTAATATTTTGAGTACAAGTTATAATCTTTAAGTTCAGATATTTTGAAAACTGTAGAGTTAAGCCTGTTTTAGAATGACATTACTCAAGAATATAGATTTGTTTGGGTACAAAGATTAGAAAGCTAATTTAAGCTTTTTGCTATTGGAGTGAGTTCATTTTTAAATGGTATTGTGACCTTGTGCCAGACTAGACTTAGTAAGTGTCTATAACAATTTGCTTGAGAATTCATTACCATCTGTGATATGAGATTGCATTACTGTTAAACACTTATGTCTGCTTATGGTAGGCTTGGGGATAACTGCCATGTTAATTGTACCAACAAATCACATCTTTTACACATCTGTTGTGTATTTGTAACTTAGATTCTTGTTATTTGGGAGTTTACTCATTTATTTTACTTCTCTAAAAGTGGTGGCAGTTGATTTATTTCCTTTCTCTCTCTGTTCAAAACAAGAAGACATTGTGCAAATAATGGAGCATAACAAGCTATTTTTTCTGCCCTTATCTATTCATGCATATTCTATTGAAAGGGTTATTTTTCTTTTCTATGGAAGAAAATCTATAACCAGAAGTTAAAGTTGTAGTGAAATAGTTTTTTTTTTTTTTTTTTTTTGTGTGTGTGCTGTAACATTTGATTTAGGAGTAAATTTCTGAGGAATTTTGTAGATTGGAAATTTATTGGCCTATGAAGAATTTTTTAACCAGTCTGCAAGTAAGTATTAGGATACTATTTGGCAAATGAAGAATTTTTCCCCTTATTTTGAATGTTTGAGAATTCCATCTAATGTCATTCCTGATAATGACTGAAATTGAGTGAAACCTTGGAACATTAGCAAGAACTAATGCAACTGTGTACAGTTCCTTTGACATTTTCACCTTTAAAATATAGGAACTAATCTGCCAAAATCTTAGTTTAAAAAAAGGGGGGGACGTATAACTTGTTTGTTATCTTTTAGCAAAACTTGTTTGAATGAAACCAAACTAATGGATCATGAATGATTTATAATACTGATTCCGGATTCTGTTTTAATTTGAGACAAAATGTGATCAGATGTACTTAAAATGATAATTCTCATATTTCACACATTATTTTGTATGGCCTACTGTCCACTCATTAATGTGCAATTTGGCCTGTAGATGCACAAAGGTTGCTAACTTTTACCCTACTTTTCAAGAAATCTAAACATTTGATTTTTCAGAAATTTTAATAGTTACTGTTTTAATTACTTCTTAAATATCCTACTTTTCTGTTTCTATAAATTGTATACAGCAAATGTTCTGAATTAAATAGTTTGAAGACCAGCAAATTATTTAGGTGATAAGAAGGCACTAAATGCAGCTTATGGTTACCCTTTAAAACGTAGTGTATTTTGTGAAAATATATATTTGCATTTTATCGAGTCTTTTGAATTGTAATTAAAAAAAAATCTTAGCAGGTCACTTTATTTGAATCATCCCCTCCTTGTATACATATTTAGCTTTAAATGACGTATCATATTTTAAAGGTAATGACATTTTCAAGAAACTCTTTATTACAGAAATTTGATTAATATTTAAATCATCCTGGTTGAAATCAGACCAGGCATGTTTGAAGATACAGTGGAACAGATTCGAATATAACATTTTTCTTGAGAGTTGAGCTCATGTAAAACTTCCCTTGTTTTCTTCCTTAAGAAATTATCCACTTTGTAAATTGTCTCTCGTCCTTATCTACCACTTGTCTATTGTGGGTTTATATTTAGGTCAAGTTGAAATGCTAGACTCAACTGTGGCTGTTAAGAGCAGAATTGGTGGCCTAGGGTGGAGTATTGTCTACAATCAAAATAAATTGGCTCGGGGTAAATGGTTAAAGAAATTTTTTTCTTGAGTTTTAAAAGTTGGTCATAAAAGAATGGATGGTAAAATGAATAAAAGGTGTTTGTATTAATAAGACTGAAATAATAATGAAGATTAAATGAGAAGAAATAGGGCTGTAGAAGGGAGAATTGGAAAAACATGACAAATTTGAATGTTCATGTTGACTTATACAAGAAATGTTATGCTTTATTTTTTTAATAGATATTTCATTGTTTTTTTGTTTAGTTTTTTTTTCTCACCTTTTCTCTGAATTTGAATTTCAGAAGGATGTTAAATTCAAACAGTGACATTACATTCATGTGTACACATATACACACACGCTCAACCAAACCAGGTCTGCTACTGCTGGTCGTGGGAACTGCAATTGAGTATGGCTGTAGTAGGGGTGATAGTAACAGCCAAAGCTAACTCTTTTTCTCTCTATTGAATGTAGTAGTCACATTAATAGTTGCAATAAAGAAAGGTGCAGATCTGATAATGGGAATAGCAGCTGTGTATGTGGGTGCGCATGTATTTATGTATGTATGGGATTGTTCCCCACCCTAACACTGGCATGTTAAAGGTGCTCTAAAGAGGTACCCTGTTAAATTGTATCTAGAAACCGTCAATTGCTCTATGCCATATAATACTTGACCTCTCAACATCTTCCCTGTCTGCAGATAAAGACATGTCAAATATCTGCATGCAGTAACTATAGGGTGGTGGATGTATAATTTTACCTAAGCATAATTTACTCTAATCATATTTTTCCTGAAACAAAGACATTTTAGATTATTTTGTTTACTTGAATTAGAAGGTATAAGATGGGTGTGGTTGTCCTAGTTTCTGAGAAATTTCAGACTGGACCCTCTGACTAGATTTGTTCATAGTGGTTAGCTTGACTAATATCTCAGTCCTTTTACTTCTATTACTTCTACTAATTTGACTTGTACAGAGAATAGTAACCCTCCACTCTTCCACCAATCCACAGCCGTGGCAAAGCTGTATAGGGAGGGCAGTGGTTCAGCTTCTCTTCCAAAATTGCATTGACACCATCCTATTGAGGAAAATGCCTGAAGGGCTGGGTACAGAGAAGGAAGGGATAGAAGCTGGCTTCTCTTCTTTCACTCCTGCACCTGGATTCTTAAGTAAAGGCACAATTCCCTCTGTTATAAATAGTCTTGGCAAACTACTACTTCACATCATTCCTGTATAATATTAAAGAAAAATGCTTACAAATTATCAAGCTAAAGGAATTTTACAATTATTAAAAAAAAACAAAAAAAACTTATATATAACAGTGGGGAGGTTGAAAGTAAAAAAAAATTTTGTTTAACATGTCTCATAAATGTTAGGATTTAAGGAAAAAATGTTGAATGTGAATAGAAGCTGAAAATATTTTTTATTATTCAAAGACAAATTTTACATCTTTCTATTAATGGATGATCAAAAACATTTCCTCTTATCTATTCAAGTTTTTATACAATAAGCACAATGAGCATCGTTTTGACTGTTAACTAATTGTCAAATTATAAATGATTTTTCAAAATAATTACAGAATATTTTCAAAATGGCATCTTAGAGATTTTGGAATTAATACTGAGAAATGAAAGTTTCTTGTAAAAAGAATTTTTAAAAATGTTTAAATAGTTTTTTTTTTTTTTTTTTTTCCAATAGTCTTTTTCAGTAAAATGTTGATATAAGCTTTCACTGAAGTGGCTTATATTGATAAACCAAATATTCTGAAATTGTAAGTTTTACAATGAGTATAAAAAAAATCTGCCAAAAGAGATGCTTTTTTTATTGATTTGAAATTGAATCTGGTTTATATTTTTACAGCTAAAGTACTTGTTTTTTTTTTTTTTGTTTTTTTTATTGAATGCATTTCTATCTCAAAATACTGAGAACATGAATTTTAGTTTGTTGTTTTAGAAAAACTCTAGTTATAAATTGGCAACATTTGATACATTGTAGTCAAAAATGCAGTCTTTAGAATTTATTGAATCCTAAACTTTCTCCACGTAATTATTGCCTTTTTGATTAATAACTGCCACCTTCACATTTCTGTTACTTTTCCATTATCATTATATTGATTCACCTATTGCAAATCAAACTAGACATTTTTTTTCTGTCTGCCAGTGATGATAGCAGTAGGCAATTATGCATCTTTGATTTTTGGGTGGCTTTTTCAAGTACACACATGCTTGCAGACACCTACAGTGACCTTGGTGAGCCTATTGAGGATTTCAACAGGATCTAAATGTCACCTAGTCAGCCATATCATTAATCCATTGCCCTTTTATACTTTATTAAAGGACATTTTTCTTTAATGAGCCTTACTATTCAGACAAGTTTGAATCTGAGCAAATTTTGTTTATGGAAACATGACTCTTTTTTTTTTTTTTTTTTTTTTTATTTATTTATTTATTTATTACTAAGAGTATTAAGCAGAATATCTTTTTCCACTCTTAATCTGTAAAATTTGATGCTCAAAATTTTTAATTTTGTCCTTAGTGGTCCAAATGAATTGCACATAACTTGGGAGAAAAAAAAATAATATTTATAAAGGTATCCTTAGAATTTCTGTGTTGCTTGATTAATCATTTCTGTTTGACATGGATAGTGAAATGAGAACAGCTTATCCTCATAGATTAAAGTGTTCAATTCAAAATTCTCTGTAGGCTACCCAGATTGACATACACCTGATGAAGGCCAGAGGGTATAATGGCCGAAATATTGTGATGACAACAACAAAGAGGAGTACAATAGTCTGCATGTAGATAATGTAAATACCTGATTTATCAGTTGAGCAGCTACTAGTTAAGTAAAAGCAAACTGCCACAAGCCAGTAATAACTGGATTTGTCACAGTCGTGTCTACTTCCAAGAGATGTTTGTTGTTTTTTTTTTTTTTTTTAATAAAGATTTTCAAAGTAAAGTACTTGTATCAGTTGGCCTGGACATAAAGTGGTTCTGACTGCTCAGCTTTGCTGCATTGGCTTGCATACAATTTAACTGTTCAGCAACTCTTATCTCTCTCTCAGTCCTCAAACACTGGTGCACAGTCTTATCTTTATTTTATTATGGACAATAAAAAATAGCATTCCTTTTTTTTCTTTATTAAAAAAAAATGATTTTACATTGCACCCTGTTGATTTTTTTTTTTTTTCTCCCTGAATTATGTAAGAACTTGAGATATTTTTAAATTTGCCATAATTTGGGGACCCTATAAAAATTCCTTTACTTGGAATATCCATATCTTACATTGCACTAAATGTGTTACCTTTATAGATAGAAAGCTGGATAGTAAAAGATTGAGCTGTACATTTAGGGGGTTCAGGAGTTGTTATGCAGAACAATATTGTCTGAAATAAACTTTGTAAATTAACAGATGTTTATATGAGTTATACTTTGAGAACAGGGCACACAAATTGTTACATTCATGTTTTGCTGATAAAATTTTTCTGTCTATACTTCTAATTGTTGATTTCAGTCAGGTTGCTATTGGCAATTCAAATATTTTAGCATTTAAGACAAATGTATTTAAATTCTTTTTAGTATTATTATTGTTTTTCTTTCTTTTCAGAAAATGCTATTCTCTTGACACAAGCACTTTTCTACAGCAACTCATGGGTTGTTGGACTTACATTCAATTGAGAAGTGGACCTGTTTCCTATTAATATTCCAAGGTAAGTACTTTGGGAAATTGTTTGGGATATGTGTTGAATGACTGGAAAAAATATACACTCCTCCACAAAGCAATAATTTTCAAATGCTAGTCCTGTCCTCTTGCCGATTTGATAATTGAAGGTTGCTGCGGATTCCTAATGATTATAAAATTAATATCTGTTGCAACAAGAGATTTTTTTTTTTTCTCTTTAAATACATGACTGCATATTTAAGGCTATATCTTGAATTCAAAAGAGCTGTTTTTAATTTACAAATAGATTGATTTGAGTGTGTGCCCTTTTGGAAATAATACTGGGAAGATTTTTTCTTTTTAAATCTTCAATTCCCGTCAACAATATTGAAAAAAAATGTGTTATCCTGCTTTAACTTTTTGCCTGGAAGCAATTTTTTCCCAAAGAAACTTATTTTAAAAAATATATTTAAACACACAAAACTTGTCACTGTTTTTAGCTTTCTTTACCTATATGTAATGAAAGCTCATTTATATTTGCAAGCTCCTATGGCAAAAGTATATTAAAACTCCGCCATATGATAGGCAAAACTCTAGTCTCTTATAAATGTTGGTAACACTTTTACATCTTTTAATTTAGTGTCATAAATAGCCAAGCAGCAAACATTGACACAATTAAACAACTATTAAAATGATAGTAGTTATCACAAAATTTAAATTGCTTTACAGCTGCCCACAGAATGATGAGCAGGACCATTCCTATCAAGCTTTTACAAACTGCTTCCTTAACTTCAAAAATTAAATAACTGAAAAATCTAACAGTTTTGTTGGCCAGGTTCTAATTTTTTTAACGACTGAATGTTTGTTCTTTAATTTTGAGAGTTAGGATTCAATCACCTGCAATAAGCTTTCAATTCCCATTCCAGACAAATGCCTCTATTTAAACCATCTCTAAAAAATATTCCAGGATAGCACTAAAGCCTGATACATAATGGATTCTATTTGCAAGATGTAGTGACATGCTAAATGCACATTGCATGTATCTTTGCACAGTTGCTTCCCACCTCTGTTTTAATCTGGTAATGAATTGTAATAATTGGAGAGAATAAAATGGTAAAAGTAAAAATTGTTTTGGAATGGCTCTAGATATTTTGGCCATATGAAGTCATGCCTTAAAATATGCTAGTTGGTATCAGATGGTTAATTATTTGCTTATGCTAAAAAGTTATTGCACATTCTCTGAAATTTGTATTTGTGAGGGTAAGGGAATTCAGCAGGTGTTGCTTTGTCTATCATGAAAAATGAGCTGATAAAATATGCTCATAACTAAAAAACAAAAATAAAGATTAGTATCATGAGTTTTTTTTTTTTTTTTTTTGTATTTTGAATAGGCATAATTGCAATAATGAGAAGTTCCGAGCCATTTTTGATTAAGTGAAGGAATTTAAAAAAAACTCTAGAATGACTATCAAATGGTGAAAGGAAGTTGTAAATCTTTTTTCGACCAATTAAAAAGTAAATTTGAAAACAAACACTAAAACTTTTGGCCAACCAAAGAACAAATGTCAAAACTTATCAGCAAGTTAAAGTGGTCCATCAAGAAATTTAGTAATAAAAAAAAAAATCAGAAAGAAATGTAAATATGACTCTCTAAAAGAATGTCTCCATTTCAATTCTTAGAGGCTTGTTTTGGCTGCCCAAGGACAACTAAGTGATGATCATGTCTCTTCAAATTCGTTGGTTCAGTGACCAAGAATGAGACATTACCCAGCCTGACTCCCAATCAGGCAAGATGAGCAGCTGATATAAAATTGATTAGGAAACTAAAGCAAAAAAGTTTTTATTGACTCATCTTAGAACTTAGTTATTATTGCAAAGCTGAACCTTACTGTAATCACTTCAGCTCAAAATACGTATCCATTACACCACCTACACACTTGTTCCCCAATTACTGAATCTTCAAACTGAACTGATTAAGGATATATTAGTGTGTATAATAGCTACCATTGTCAGGGCTTGATGCATATTTGATCCAACAGAGTTGATATGCTGTTAAAACAATCAATTGATGCAGATTTGACTTCTAGATTTTCATCTGGGTTTAGTAGTGTGTATTGTCTAGTGGCCTTAGATTATGATCAGAAACTACATGTTAAGGACAGTGGAAAATTGATGGAAAGTAACCACTAACTTCTATTTTAGATAAATAATATTCTTACAATCAATAGCTTGTGTTTGACTGAAGCTGACTGTTGTTGCTAACAAAATGGATAGTCTCCTTATAGAGAATCAAAACTGAACAAGTTTCGTTTGTTGATTTTGAAAGACTAAAGTTTACATTTTATCAAAGTCCTCTGCAGCAGATATAGTAATAAACAGTGGTTATGATATGATTGGTTGATTATGACATTTCTAGACAGCTTAATGTTAAAAATGCGATCGGGCCATTTCTAGTAATTGACTGCCTGGCCATTGCTAATATCCTTAAGTAGACAGGGTTTCAAAGAAATTGACATAATCTACTGAGGATGATGTCATCCTTTGTATACAAGACATAACTAAATGTAGTTAAAGTCCTGCAATATTGCAAATCCTTGCAAGTGGTCAAAGTTCTTGCCACTAGTATTTGTCCTTGCTGCAATTCACTAGTTTTGCCAGAATTAACCCATATTGTTACAAAGTGTGGTGGGTGGGAGTATCCTTAGCAAATTGATCAGTTTTGAAAATTTGCATATATCGGGACCTCTGTGTACATAGATCTCAAAATGCATGCTCAGTTTATCCAGCAATGACAAACCAGCACACATGCTATACGGTGCCAATTTTCCCATTGGGTGAGTTCATAAGTTTCCCACTACACTACCTCCCTACTTTTTTTGAGAATATTTGAAATAGTAAAACATTAGTTTCTGTTTTTGTGTTCCAGTTTTTCAAAAACTGGTTGCCTATGATTGTCAACTAAAGAATTAAGTGACATGAATTATCCAAAAGTACTGGAAATTAAAAAAAATAATCTTTACTATCCTTTCATTCCGGATGATTGATATGTGATTCTTTCACTATAAAATCCAGTAGGGCTGATTGCAGTTTTTATTGGAATAGAAATCTGCTTGTATTGGGTTGATGCAAAAGTTTTCAGCGCTTTTCGGACAAAGTTTTCAGCGCTTTGTTATTCAGTCATACAAACCTTTTCCAGGAATTTCTATGATCTTACATCACCTATCAACTAAACTGATTCTTGTATTAATTCAAAATCTTCCATAAATTTTAATTTTTTCCACAATAATAATGCAAAAATTAATGACTTGGAGAATATACTACATGATAGTGGGAGGGTGCTGGGCCCTAAAACTTCCCATTTCAGCTGGGTTTCATTTGAAATATGAAGAAGAATGTTGCTTAAGCAGCAGAATTTCCTATTGATTTCTTTGCTCAAAGTTTTCTTTTTCAATGCATCATTCAAACTAGAGAATGCTTTATATGGGTACTTGAAATTAGTTGACAATTGGCCAACTAATTGCAAGTACCCATATAAAGCATTCTCTATGAATCTTACCAAAACCAAAGATTATTATTTTTTTTTTATTTTTTTTTTATTACCTACTAGATTATATATTCATTTTTCATCATTGATGACTATTTTGTCCCCACCCCCAAAAAAAGAAACAGAATAATAATCTATGAAGAGGAAGATGAGTACTCAAACACTGATCAATGTTTTTTCTGTAAGTTTATGTGGAACTTATTTTTCCTGGTTTCATATTTCCTCTAACGCACGTAAACAATGTACTCCAATTGAGATGAATTTCAAACATTTCTAAAATTTCCTTAATGTGTAAAAGAATGCACAAATTCTACACCTTAATTTATTATGTTGGCACAAAAGTTACTAATGCAAATATTGTCCTTAGTCTTGAAAATTCATGATACATCAAATGCTTCCTACATCCAACAAAATGATTAACTAAAAGGAGGGAATTAAATTAATGATTTTCAAAAGGAGCTGGGATTTCTTTCATCACCATTCTTGAAATTAAACTGAAAATGTGGTTTAAACTTCAGATTTTGCTTTAGCGCCTCATTAATTAAGTTCTTTCCAAATGAGTATATGTTTTTGTCTAAAGGAAAAAAACATAGATAAGCTATAAAGTTTCTCTTGTTGACTTTTTTTTTTCTTCAGTAATTCCTGTTGAATTAAGATGAATCCTTCCTTAAATCATATTTACTCTTATGTCTAATGAACACTTGCATTTATTTATCATTTAGGTGCAGCCACTGTGTGGTCAGCATGAGTCGACAGCCATCCAACTCAGGAAAGACCCGTGGACACAATCAGCAAGGTATTTACATTTGAAAGTTCTTGACTTTGATGTACTTCTGCTCCCCTCTCTCTCTCTCTCTCTCTCTGAACATGCAACTATCAAACATGTTAGATCGACAAACATTTTGCCATCAAAACTAGTGAATTTATATTTGACTTGGTCTTTTCTTTTAAACTGGTTTAATTCTTCTGAACACTTTTTTTTTTTTTTTTCTCATCTTCTCAAGTCAACTTGTGAAAACTTTACACTGATGTATAAAATTTTGACAATTGTTTCAATACTTTCTAATCTTTACAAAACTTTGAAAAAAATTTTGAATTTTCATGAATAAGAGTGTATCATTCTGGTATAAGTAATTTTGTTTTGCTTCTTTTTAAGAATTGCTTTTCTCAACCTATTAACATTTACTTTTTTTTTTTTTTTTAACAATTAAAACCTCAATTGTTCAAAGAACAAGTAAATGAACTGTTGCTTTGTGTTTGTGTAGCCAAATAATAATTTCATACTAAAAACAGATTCTTTTGACTGAATATTGCAATTAGTGGGTGGAGAAACAACTTTTATTTTGAAGGTAGATGAAACCTTTTTATATTTGTTATGGTTCTTTAGCAGATTAAAATCTCTTTTCTAGTTTACATATTGATTATTTTGTACTTAAAATTTATTCAAAACAAAAGAAAAAACTTCCTAAACCGAATGGATTTCATTTTGCCTGATAGACCATTTTCATAGAAAAACATTCCATTTATTAATGTGTCAAAGGATATGATCAAGTATCATTATATACAATAAATTAAACTTGCAATTCTATTGTTATCTGTAACCCAAAATTACTTGAGGCCAAGTAAAAGCTCATCATTGAGTGACACATTTGCCAGCTGTTAAAATTAAAACCTACTACAGATTAGGCAATAAGAAATTTTGCTATATTGCTATTCTTTATTCAATTACTATCTCTTCCCATTGCTATTCATTGATTTTCACCTATTACTACATCCAATGAGAATATTTTGCCTTGTCTTCTGATCACTCTAAGATTAACATAACAAGAGGCATATTAAATGTTGCAAATCTACGGGTATCTTTTAAACACATAAGTAGATCGATAATTGTCCCAAGATTTTTCTTTTGAGACTGTTGTGTGTATTCTTTGTGTATTCCTTAAATTGTAGTTACTGTCACCCATTTTTTATAACTGCTGAGTTGACCCTCATCACGTATTCATTCTTTGGCTTCCTAGAAATTCCCTTTTATAGATATAAAGCAATTTGATGCTATCAGGCAATACAATGAAGATTTTTGCTTAGCTATTTTTTTAACAACTCTAGTATTAATTAAAATAAATTTAGTATCAGTAACATAATGCACATGTTTAAATAACCTTACAGTTGATTTTTGTTTTTATTCATCTTAAAATATTCCAACAAGAACAATTGAATAAAATTTTAATAATTCTGATTGAAATTTTAATTTTGATTAGGATTTGGTGGATCTGTTTTGTGTTACTGTTAACTTTTGCTTCTGTGGATGTCATAAGGAGTCCCTCTCTCCACCGTCATCTCTCAATGCATAAATCTTTGGTCAGGCTATGAAGCCCATTGAAATATCTTCTTGTTACTTGTGTAAATTCCCACTCCCCTTTGTGGCATGTGGTCTTTTCCTGCCTAACCTCTTCTCTTAATGTCCAGTGTCTTCCTTTCTTTTTTCTTTTTTTTTTTTTTTTTTTAAATCTCTATTTCTACTCACCCCAACCTTTCATCTTTCTCTTAACATTGATACTGGCTAATTTCTCTGAAACAGTTCTACTCCAAGACTCTCCATTGATGATGAACATACAGCCTCACAAGTCTGAGAGGGAGTGCGGGGCTTTGAAATGTAAGTGGGAATATTTTCACCCCACCTCACACTTTTTGTACACCAGAGTTTTCTCACCTCATTGGTGCCTTCAAATTCTATCTCTACCCCTTCTCCCAGTACATTCAATCAAATAATCAACCAACCAAGGAAGATGATAATGTCATAAATTTTGAATAAACAGTATTCATATTAAAAAATCATTTTAACTTTAGCATGCAAATGACTTTGAGCCTATGAACACAATCTTTCAGAGTTATGTAGCTCTTAACCATTAGCTGGATACTGACAGCCATGAATGCTAGGGTATAACATTTCCCTTTTCACACATGATTCTAAAAGTTTGAAGCTTGGTGAAGGATTCCTGATTTCCTCTTTGCTTTCTTCAAATTTGAAATCAACTTTTGCTTTGTTTTACATTTTCAATGCCAAAGTTGTTTTCATTTTTCTCTTTATCTCCATTTAAGATACAGTATTAAAAACATTGTCTTTTGATAGTGAACTTTATAAAAGAAAATGCCATGACAAAGAACTTTGATTCATTGGGCAAAAGCAGCAAATTATAGCTCAAATGAAAGAAGGTCAGCAGAACTACTGCTCTACAAAGGTGCCTCATACATCTTAGTACCTCCAGCCTTGCTACCCATACTGTGTTGGTGAGGGGGGGAGACGATTGGTGTACATGTTGTTTTTGTTTTATTTTTTGTTGTACTTTCTCATGCAAGTTTTTTAGATTATCCCCCTTCTCTGTTGTTTAATGTTGTGAAAAATGTCTTTTGTCCTTTTTTGTGTGTCACTTCAATTTAGTACTTATATTAATCAGGAACTTTTACAATTATAGAGTTGCCAATCATTTGTGATCATATATGCTGTCAAAATTATTTTTTTCTCTCCATGATCTAAGATTACAAAATGACTTTTGATTAACAAATATAATCAAAAGAAATATTTCCTTTTTTTTGTATCTGTGTATTGAATGTTTTCCGAGATTTTATAGTGTAGATCAGTCTTTCTCAACTGGTGTTCCCCAGACTGGGGGTGGGGTTTCTGTAAGAAACAGTGATAAATAGTCTAATGCATTTTTGAGCAATTTTTGTTTAATTTTATTTTTGTAATTTTACTATACACACACATCATTGTTAGAAAGTCTGGTTATTATAATAAAATATAAGAGATATTAATAATGGTATATAATGATTTTTATGCAGGGTTTCTCTGAGACATGAAACTATTTTAAGGGTTCCATAAAAGAGGGTTGAGAAACGCTGGTGTAAATGTTCTCTAAATAAATATGTAAATGTTGTCATTCTTTGTATTCTTTTCTTTTTTTTTTTTTTTTTTTTTTTTTTTAAGTGTATATTTGTTGCATATCTATAAAACACTCTTACAAGCACATTTTATAAGACATAAAATCTTTCAATACACATCACTAAAATGAAACCAAACTTATTTTTTCTTTCCTCCTTTCCCTTTTTATAGTGGATAGGGAACTTGTATCCTAATTTTATTTTAGATTGGGCTCATCTCACTTGCAAGAGTTGTTTAGAGTATTATTGTTTAACAACATTACTTTAGGGATTATTATTGTTTTTTGTTTTTGCTTTCTTTTTTTTTTTTTTTTTTTTTTTTTTTTATTATACACATTTGAACACTTTCACTTTTAACAATGAAAATATAAGAATCAGAAAAGAAATGTGGGAATATATTAAATACATTACAGCAATGAATTTCTTACTCTGCATTTTATTCACAAATCTTTTTATTGTGAAGGTAATTAATGAAAAAACATGACTGATTCAAATACTGTTATCTAAATCCATCAAGTTCGTTTTCTTAACCCATTAATGTCTACTATCCCTTTTTTGTGGGGCAGGGGGGGGGCAGTGGGTTATGGGTAGAAACTGTATTTGATACAAGATTTTTTATGAATGAATAACACTGGCTTTTATTGGGGGCATTATTGGGTTAAAGAAGCTAGCATAAATTATAGAAAATTGTGCCCTTCTCATAATTGCAAGCATTTTTTCAGTTTTTGTGTCCTGAAATAAGAATTCAGAGAAGTGAAAAACTTTACTTTATGAATCGTGAAGATGATCTACACACCTTTTATTCGCTTGAAGTTACACCATGTTAGTGTCTCTTGTTACTGATATTTAGAGATTCTGATTACAATGTAGATTGACTGTAAAATAGACAACGATACTTAAACATATATGAACCAGATTAACCTGAGTGAGTCATGACATCTATACTAAAATTACATCCATCATTTCCTCTCCCTCTCCTTTCTCTATCCATTGAAATTTACCAGTGAAAATCTGTCTTGCACTTTTTCTTGAAATTGTTTCAAGTTATACATTTCTTCGAAAGCTTCTATAATGTTTGAAAACCTTTTTTCTCCTATTTAATAATAGTAATGGTGAGGAAGTTACACTTTAGCTTGTCTGTAGATAAAGAATTAGAAATCTTATGGTTTACTACATAGTCATGAACAGAAAACTTTTTTTTTGCATAGATATGTTCTGTCTCTTAGATGAATCTGTTGTGAAAGTTTCATTTGAATTCTTTGCCCTATTTTCCTCTGTTAATTTTGACATTTCCTTTTGTATTTCTTTTTTTTTTTTTTTTTTTTTTTATCTAGCATCTACAACTGGTAGTAATGATCTGGCCAGCTTGTTTGAGTGTCCAGTCTGTTTTGACTATGCCCTGCCTCCTATTATGCAATGTCAGAGTGGACATATTGTGTGCCACTCATGTCGACAGAAATTGTCCATGTGTCCTACATGTCGGGGACCACTAGGTAAGTAATCTGCATTCTGTGCACTTTTCTTCATTAAGCTGAATTGCTTCTCTCCAGAAATGGAGATTAGTCTCCAGAAATTATTACTTTTTTTTTTTTTTTTTTTTTTTTAATTTAAAAATATGTACATTGACTGACTTTTGTCTCTAATATCAGCTGAGAGCTATTAAAATATCAAACTCTTTCAATTGCTTGACTGTATTATAATTGCTTGTGAGATCATACTTAATTCTAGACTATTTCCTTCACTGTTTAGCTTATATTTAAGATATACTTTGATAAAAAACTAAGTCATTTCTTAAAATATACAAAAGGAATATATACCTAATGTCTTTGTAAAATGTTATGAAAAATAATCCAAGTTTTGAGTTTTGTACTTAAAAAGCCCAGAACTCAAATTTGTGGATAGACTTTTTCAATAAAAAAAATATAAATAATCAATTATACCTAAATTGACTAAAACCAATATAAAGACCTGTTATTTAATTAATTAAAAAAAAACAAAAAAATACATACACTCAATGACGATTTAATTTCTTGGAATAGTAAAATCTCTAAATTGTTTAATGTTGAAACAATAAAAAAAGTTCAGACTACAAGAAACAAATGCAATAATTGCTAATTGTTCCTAATTTGCAGTAATCTTTTTCTATTCTCTCAATTGATGCATTATTTTATTAGTAAGAAACTTTTGAAATATTTTGTATACAAACAAATTTAATAACCAGTATTTCATGGCATATAAGAGATTGCCAAGTTAAGATTACAATCTAGATGCAATTTTTTTTTTCTTGATTGTGCTCCTTTTCTCATCATAATATGGCTACTAGCATATAACGTTTTTACCTCCACATATTAGAATTCCATTAATTTGTAATAAATGCACAAAATGTTTTGAACTGGGTCAAAGAGAAAACATGACATTCCAGTGGAGAATAGAAAGGTTTTGCTGCTGTGATTTCTCTCATATTTTCCCCCTCCTTAATTTTATTTGCTGAAATGGGATTTTATATATTATTGGATACTACTCTTGAAATCAAAGGTTTTAATTAGCTTAGTTGTATGTTGGTTTCCATTCTCCAAACTTTTTTTTGTTTTGTTCATTAAAGTGTAAAAAAAAAATAAAAGTTAATACTTTTTATTCTTTCTACCTAGGTAATATCCGGAATTTGGCCATGGAAAAGGTTGCCATGACAGTACTTTTCCCATGTAAATATTCAACTAATGGTTGTCCTGTCACATTGCTTCATACAGAGAAATCAGAACACGAGGAAACCTGTGAGTGCAGGTACATATGACTTTTTCTCTTTAAAGAATATTTTTAATTTTTTTTCTCTTGGAGTTGCCGTCTACACAACGGGAGGCAACTCTTGAGGTGATATTTTCTTAGTTTCTTAGCATAGTGCATTTAAGGAAGCAGAACTGGCATAAATTGTAATATATTTACACAGAATTGGTAGTTTGCAGATCCATTTTCAAAGCATATTTTGTTAATAACAGCTATTAAATACTTTTTTCATAAACAGTGTAATAAGCAACTAATGTATCTATTGGCATTTGTCCTTGAATAAAAAGAAATCTATTCAGTTTATAGGCTCATAACTTTATAATTCTCTCCTTTCCATTCTCTCTCTCTTTCTCTCCCTTTATTTTTCCCTTCATCCCTCCACTTTAAATTGTGTCACTTAATCATTATTTCTTTTATTCTAAAAGTATTTAATTTTTAGGTGATTGTAGATCAGCAGAAGCTTGTAGAAGGAATCTGCTGATATGTTATGGTTAACAATATCAACACAGATTGACAAATGAGTTCAATTATGTGTTATATCTCTGTTGGTTTGTGCATTGACTTGTATATCTTTTCTTTTTCTTTTTATCTAGGCCATACTGCTGTCCCTGCCCTGGTGCATCCTGCAAATGGCAAGGTTCATTAGAACAAGTTATGTCTCATTTGGTGCAGTCTCATAAAAGTATAACCACATTACAAGGTAAGTTTTTTTTTTTTTTTTCATTCTGCATACTCCTCCTTTATTTTAGCTTTATTTTGCTGTTAGGTATAACTTTCTCTTTTATAGTCATATTGAACTTCTATTTTATTTATGAGGGCCAAGCCTTTCTCTTATTGATATTTATGAAGGTTTTTATTTCTCTCAACATATGTTAAAAATTTGTGCATAGTTTTTAATTTAATGCATTCTTAAAGAAGTTGATTTTGCATATTTTCTTTCTATTAACAGAATATGAAATAATGTTGGTAGACGCAGTTTATTTTGCTCTCTCTCAATTATTTGAATTGATTTTAAATTCGACTGAAACAATTCTTCATTCCTCATTCTACTGTTATTTGTACATTGGTATGTTCTTAACATCAACTGCTTGAATTATTGGTCTTTTATGTTGATATATTTTCCTTTTTAAGAAATATTTTGCAAAAATTTAGAAATAATGTTTAGATTTTGTTAAAGAATTATAGTCACCTGTTTGTAATGCACACACGTATTATATCTTTTCTTTTTTTTCTCTCTCTCTCCCTCCCTCAGGGGAAGATATTGTATTCCTGGCCACAGATATAAATCTTCCTGGAGCAGTAGACTGGGTAATGATGCAATCATGCTTTGGACAAAATTTTATGCTGGTGCTAGAAAAACAAGAAAAGATTGATGGACTGCAGATGTTCTATGCAATTGTGCAGCTAATTGGCACACGGAAACAGGCAGAGAATTTTGCCTACAGGTTGGATTGGTTTACATGTTTTTTTTTTTTTTTTTTATAATAAAAGTAGTTCATATAAAAATTAAGTAGCTATAAAACTAATTTCATATTTGTTTTAATATAGATATTAAGCAATAAGAAAAATGTCATCTTGGCTAAATACGATTAACATTTTGTAACTTTCCTTTTCTGTCAGAATTTTGGCTAAAATGAAAAAAATGTTTTAACTTCAAAATTTGTTCCAATTTTTTATTGGGTATGAAAAATAAGGATTTATCCTTGTACCCTCCCCTTATCAAATTTTTGTTTCATGATCATAGAAAATTTAGTCACTGCAAAAATTTCTGATCTAAGTCATCAAAAGATTACAGCAAAGATTTATCATTAATGGGCAAATATCTTACTTACCATTAGAAACAATAATGTCATTAGCTGGACTTATTCATTTGAGTTATTTGTAAGGTTTTCTATTGATGGAAATATTGAAAAATAAAGGAATGTTGCTGTTTTTTCCAGACATGCATTCTTTTTTAACAGTGTGAAAGAATGTACAGTTAATCATTTTAAGGAACTCTCAAGAACAAAGATTTAAGGACAAAATTCCAGTTTCAAATTTGAGTTCTGATATCCAACTGACTTTCAAAGTTAATTCCAATATTGTTTATATTGTCTTCTGGATTATTTCTTCAACAACAATAGCTGTACATCTTTTATTAAACCAGTCATCTTGTCTGTACTCCATTCTGTTAGATTTTACTGAATGTTGCAGAAACTCATTTGCATTTCTCAAGCTTACGTTTCATTTTTTGTACATCATTTCAGGTTAGAATTGAGTGGTCATCGCCGCCGCCTGACCTGGGAAGCAACCCCTCGCAGCATTCATGATGGCGTGCAGTCAGCTATTTTAAGCAGTGACTGTCTGGTGTTTGACACCAACATAGCTCAGCTCTTTGCTGACCATGGTAACCTGGGAATCAATGTGACCATTTCCTTGTGTTAGCCTCTACTTTGCTGACCACTCTCTCAGGCTAGAGATAAACATCATGACCTTGCCATGCCACCCCCTCCTCCTCCTCCTCTGCTGTTACTGCTGCTGCTACTGCTGCGTACACACACACACGCGCACACACACACAAAACTTTTATAAGTGTCAATGATAACATAAAGTACAGGACCTTTTGTGTATGAGAAGTAATCAAACATTTTAGGTTTTTGGCCAGTGCAGTTATCAAAAAAAGAAAAAAGACAGAGGCTTGAAATATTTTGATTTAAAAATTTGAATCCTTCTCCAGATGAAGTATGAAGCATAAGAAATATTATATGCAAGTCTATATATATATATTTTTCTTCTGTACATCAGTCATGTTCTGTGCTATCAGTTATTGAAAGTCAGATGTTTTAGATTCCTCAAGTTATTTATTTATTTTTTCTTTTTAGTTTTTAAATTCCATGATTTCTCCATACTTCTCCGGACAGTGCTACACACATTTTATTTTTCTCTACATTATTTCTTTTGTGAGAGGAGGAGGAGGAGGAAAATGAGAAGACAATGCAAAAGACAAGAGAATTTCACATATATATATATATATATATATATATATGAAAGAGAGAAAAAAAAAACTCCCTGCCCAACTGGAATAAATTGAGAATAAAAAAGATCAAAAGAAATCCTCTAGTCAAGGAAGCAACATGCAGAAGAAAAAAGATAGCCGCCCACAAGTCTTTAAACAAAAGAAGGAAACATTTATTTTTTATCATCTCATATTTCAGGTAAACTTATTTGAGAACCTTGAGTGCATTGTTATTTTCTTTATAGAACAAATGAAGTTTTTGAGAAACAAAAATGGATATTAATGGCAGAAAATACTTGAAAATCACTTGTAGCAAAGTAAACCAAAATCACTGGTGAAATGACTGAAATTCTTTCAGTTTTTAGTGTTAAGCAATTTGTCTTTGAGCATGAGTAACCCTCTAAGATGTTTCTGCCAATGTTTTTGATTTTGACAATTTAACTATGTATTTCAAGATAACTTGAAATATAGAATTATTTCAAATCATAAAAATGCAACTACATTTACAACGGAGATCTATATCTGTACATGATGTGACTAACTGAAATTTGAAGACATCTGCTTTTATGATGTCCTCTTTTTGATTAGAGGAGAGGGGTGATTCTTCACTAATGAATGCTGACCTTTTTTTTTTTTTTTTTTTCTTCTTTGTCTTCTCCACTACTGGTTCTGCTGAAGGAGCTGCTGCTGCTTTAGAAGAGAACAAAAGTTGCAGAAGTGAATTTGTCCCCGTGTTTAGAGGAATCTGCAATTAAAAGGAGACATCAGCAGCTGCTAGCCGACACCCTTCTCATCTTCTCTGACAGCCTACAGATAACTGATAGCATTACTTATTCACTTTCTTTAAAGCTCACCACTATATATATATATATATATATATATAAAAACAAACTGTCCTCTGTTCTTTTCTAAAATTGTCTGTGGGATTTTTTTCTGCATTTTATCAAACAGGTGTTGTCAAATGAGTTTCACAATGCATCCTAGCTTTCAATTTTCAACCTGGTTTACCATAATTCTCAGCTAATAATGGTAAAAGAATGATTTTAATTATGGAGAAAACCAATTTTGTTAATCATAATGCAAGCATTAAAATGGGTTTTGAGTTTGGATAGGTATTATTGATAGCCAAAAGTGGTACTAATATTTAACATTCGTAACTGTAGATCATTCAGGTAATTATGCCAACAATTGTTAAGGACAGTAAAATCAGATATAATTCTGTTATAACATTTGATATTGACCAGAAAATTTAATAATATGATAATGGTGAGGAAGTGAACACTAAAATCTGAAGCCATAGTGATAAGAATCTGAAATGAATATATGTACCTTAAGGAACATGACTATTCTTTGTTAGGACTGGCATAAAAATGTTGATTACAGATTGTCTCAAGATTAAAGGTGGTTACTGACATTAATTGGTAAGTAGACAGTTACAGCAAAGATTGGCAATAATATCTGTTCAGGATGACAATTGGCAACTATGGAACAAAATAGTTTCATTCTCCCAGAAAACACCAATTTCAAAATTTCATAGAAATTAATGTCAAGTTTTTAATATTTGGTAAAAAAAAAAAAATGTAGAAGAGATAAGAAAAGATGTTTGTGCGATGACAGTAAAGAGAGGAGGATGTTTGTGGGATGATGGCGAAAGGAGGAAGATGTTTGTGGAACAACTGCAACAAGAAAATGTTTAAGATGGCTGCTGTTAGTTGTAAAGAAAGGAAGGAAAATGTCAGCAGAACGGCTATTAATGTCCTGAGACAAAAGGTCTTTCTCTCAACCATGCAAGATAGAAAAAAATTATAACACAAGACAGTTTTCTTTTCTGTGAATCCAGGAACTTTTTCTTTTCTCTTCTCTTGCTGCTGACAAGCATTTGTTGACTTTGCTGTTGGAACTGCCTGCCTCTTTCTGTATCTGTCTGGGCAGGAACTTTCAAAAGCCGTCCTTACTAGAAACCAGGCTCTTTTACAAAAATGAATATATGGACATTAAAAACAAAAACAAACCAAAAAAAAAAAAAAACTGTGTGTGCATGCGTGCATGTGTGCCTCTCCTCTTGTAAAGAGAGATGAAAAAAAGACAAAATGAACCCTTCAAAGAAGCAAGAGACAAAAATGGTGACATTGTTACATGTGTGTTGTGTGTGGAGTTAGTGAGTGCAGCCAATGCTGGTCCCTCTTATTGACCTGGTTGCTCACTGCTTACATATTACACAGCCTGTTCCCCTTTTTATTTTCTTAATACACACTTTTTGTTTTTATATATATATATATATATATATATATATATATATATATATATATATATATATATATATATGTGTGTGTGTTTAGGTGCGGATAAGCAGCCAATTTTCTTTAAAAAAATTCTCTTCTCCTCCTACCTCTTCTGATGAGAAAAACAAAACCTTGTCTGTCTTTGTACATAATCCTCTGTTGTGATTCAAGTATTTGTGTATGTGTTCTTTTTCTCCATTTTTGTTTGTATGCCATTAGAGTGAGGTGGATGTGAATTTATTATGTATGGGGTTCCTGGTTGTGTAATGTGTATGTATATATCTCCACACGGGAAGAAGCCCACTTTGCTTGTATCTATCATATAGGTTTATATACAAATACAACTTTTTTAATGTGTGTTTGTGACAGTAAGGAAGGTCCATGGGCTTAGAGACAAATCTGAAAAATCCCCCAAAAAACAGGAAGTCTCTGTCCATTATCTGGGTTGGCTGTCTTTTTAAAAGTACACAAATTCCTAATGAAATATAAGTTCCATAAAAAGCAGTAACCAGGTGTGTGTGTGTGTGTGAGAGAGAGAGAGAGAGAGAGAGAGAGGAAGAGAGAAGAATTTGTCAATTTTTCTGTATCACCCCACCCAGTACAGAAAGAAATCACTTCTGACATTTAGGCATTGCTCATAATCCTACTATCAGTGGGATCAGCATAATGACTGAACGGGAATAAAATTATTAGATATTTTAATTTCTAGTAGAGAAAGCTTTATTTTTGTAAAGATCCATCTTGTCATGATAATTTTCATTTTAAAATCTTGACTGTAATTCACTTACAAAATTTGTGACATTTATTAATGTGTGTGCAGTTGCCTCATCTGATAATAGATTCACTTGAGTTCAGGATTATACATGAGATATCTTGAGCCAATTTGTCTTGTTCTTCAACCATATTTAAAGGGAAACTAAAACACTAAAGAAAAAAAGCCTCCTGATATTATTTTTTATCAAAGACTTAAAACTTTTAAAATGATTATGGTTTTAATTGCAGAACATGAAATTAAGTATATTAAGCAAAATATCTTTTGCTCAAATTTTCAGACATGAAAGATTACTTTAATCTAAAAAAAAAAAAAAAATCAAGAAATATTGAAAGTGTATATGTGTTATAAAAGGATTAAAGTATTCTTTCTTGAATTAGAATCCTTTATTTTAAAAATAAACTTATTAAATTTTCTGTTTCTGTTACTTAATTTTAGTTTGACTTTGATCATCAAGCACTAAAAAGAAGATCCTTGTTTTGCTGATGTGATGAAATTAAAAAGAAAAAAAATCTGGCAATACATTACTAAATAAGTGGATGGTATTTGTAAGGGAGGTAATCAGAGGCAAGTTAGTTAATTGTCCCCTATCGATGAACTTGTATAAAAGGAAAATTTGATCCCATGCACAAAAAACAAGACATGCAAGCAAACAATTTTATTCAATAAAAGATCTACCAGAATTTGCTTCAGACTCTTAGCTTATTTGCTGTAAATTGAACTGGTAATTTTACTATCATTATGTCACTGATGACATAATCTCATGCAAACTCCTAAAATGGTGTTTTTACTCTTCATTTTTGGATAAAGTTTAGCTTCACTTTTCTTTTCATGTTAATATATACACCTTTTTTTTTCTTTCTTTCATCATCATCATTTACTGTCTTCTTCAGCTTGATAAGAGACTAGACTGATCCCATTTGATGAAGATCTCATGTCAGTATTTAACAAGTCAACTTGTCTAAATTAAGGAGTTACATCCTTTTAGGAATTTGCTGAGATTTTCATATTGAACTTGTAAGTAAGATTTACTCATTTTTCCTCATTACATTTGACATGTGTAACTCCATTTTTAAAAAAAAAAAAATTCTCCATCTTATGATTTTGGCTTTCTCTATGAGAGAAGGATGTGGGGGGGGATAGTGAGCAACATTATGTGAGTATTTATATGTACCAATTATGTGTATCTAATAGGCATGACATTAAATCTTGGAAACCAAAATGAGAAAATGGGGCTCTATTTGATAGCATTTTTATTTACGTGGCAGGGTGGGGAGTATTAAAATATTTCTGAAATCAACTGGTCTTTTCTGTCTAAAATCAGTCTTTAGACAGTAATTTTCTGGTTCCTTTACTTTGGTCAATGCCTGGAGGCCAAGAATGGTTTCTTTCTTACTTTCACTCTTTTATTTTGAAACAAAACAAAAAAAAACAATTCTGCTGGACCGACTTTAGCGATCTTTCTTCTTGTTGCTCGATTTGATTCTTACTGCACAATATGTACATGTGTACACACACACACACACACACACACACACGCGAAGTACTGCTGCTATCTTGATCTTACTCCTTATCTACAGATATCCTCATTAAAATGAGGAGTTGGTGATGGTAGCAGCACTGCCCACCAATCAAGATACATCCAGTCCTCACCACCCATAAAATTGTAACAATCTACAATAAATATAAATTCAATTGGTTGCTTTTATTCTCTGCTTTATTATGTTTTTGTTTTCAGCTGTCAATATTGGCGAACAGTATGACATAAAGTTAAGTAACCCTAACCATTTGAAGATGTTATTTAAGATACAATCTACTCTACTGTCAAATTTGTTACTTATTTGGAGAGAAAGACATAAGGAAAACATATCTGTGAACCCCAACTCCTCTCTTTTAAACATTGTACTCTCACATTCTATTAAAACAACAAAATGCTTGCCAAGTGAGGCCTTTCCATTGGCGCTTAATTAGAGCCCAAAATAGCACTTCTTCCGGTGTCCCACATTCACTTTTTCAGTGATTTCTTTGTAATTCATTTGGGCATGTAGTAATTTTTTTATGAGTACAACAAATTTCTGTTCCTGTCTTTCAAATCAAAACTGGAACACTTTTCTTTATTCTAAAACCCGACAAAAATATTGTTTTACTGCCAGATCACTTCCCAACTTACTCCATAGTTATATAGTTACTGAGCAGTCTCCTCTCACACTTTGCCTATATAGATGATGTTGCTGATGATTAAGAGTGTCCAAATTTACCATGTCTCTATTTACTGTTGTGTACTTGGAATCTTCAATGGAATTTTTATTTTTTAACTTAAGCTGCTAAAATTTTATGACCTTGTAATTAGCAAATCTCTTGTCTTTCACTCATTTCTTCAAGGCAGATTCAGTCAGCATATTCAATTTGCACTTAATTCAAATTAAGTCCATTTACCATCTTATATGAAATAATGGAAAGAAAGTGTATGTTACAACTGTCAGATAAGCTCCAAGATAAAAATTCTCCAGCAGTACTTCTATAGGGTGTCTAATGCTTTCAGTATTTTGCCAAAATACTACCTTTCAAAATGCATTAGTTATATATAACATGTGTTAGTCAATAAGTTAAAAATTAAAGATAATTGTTAATTGGGTGTTTATTTATCTTTGGTTTTAATATATTTTGGTTGATTACATTCTTTATATAGAAGTTACTTTATTTTAAGGAAATGTGATCTTCAAAATACTTCACATTTCTTCCTAGTATAGGAGATACTTGGCTATTTTATTTGAGCACTGGTTTCCATATGATAACCTTGCTTATGTTCTAATTGAGATGAAAAAAAGTATTATACCAAATCAAACAAAACTTTCTTCTCAGGTGTATCAACTGAAAAATGTTAATTTGAATATGAAAAATCCTTTGTCAGATTTAGAAAACTGGCTTTAATGTACCATAATACTGCATGAAATATACTTCTAAGCTGGTTTTCTTGATTAATTTTAGTCAAAATGGGGATAGGTGTCAGTAAATGGTATAAAAAGCATTCACTGAATGGCTTTCACTTCAGCTAATGGATATTGTTATATAGGAAAATCTACTATATGGGATGTCATTTGTTATACTCTTTATGAAAATGACCTTCATTTTAGGAATTTTCCAGTTTTCAGAATTGTTTTAAACTGAAAACAAGCCAAGTGGTTGTAAAGTGGGAGTTCAATTAAATGTACATTTAATACCAAGCTGAATCCTGATGGTCTCCAATTATTATAAATTGAATATCGGCTGTTATAATACAAATATACTACTAAAGCATCTATCATCCCACCCCACAAATTGAATTCCTAGTCTAAGAAAATGAAAATTTATCTTAGTCTATAATTTTAATGAACAGAAGTCAAACAACACCAAAAAATATTTGCAGAAAAGAGACTTATATTGTAGATCAAATTCAGTCATATTCAAATAACATGAAAATATATGGCAACTATTTTTCTACTTTGTACAATATCCCAGATACAAATATAAACTGCCTAAAGTGTTTTACATAAAGAAACTGATGCAGACATTTGTTTTTTATGGAAATGGAAGACAACTGTGTGATGAATATTTTTTCTTTCTTTTTTTTTTCATTTTTACCTGATATCTTGGAAAATTTAAATTCTAGCCTTAATGAGGTTAGTTGAGACAGTTGATTCTAATAAAAACTTCATAATTTAAGTCAAGATCTCAAATTTATTGA